CTCCAACCCCTACTTTATTAACTTAACAAGACTTATTGAGTGCATATTTACTATCAAATATTGCTTTTTGTGTTTAAAATAACAACTGTGGGGAATAAACTCACTGAAGGTATAGGGATTACAGTTGTAGAAAATCAATTGCCCGGTAAAAAAAAAAAAAAAAAAAGTGAATTAAAAGTAATTTAGGTTTTAACCTTTGGTGATAGTCTCTAAATACAGGTTGAACTTTACAAAGTGATGCCAAACAGGTACGAAGACTTCCACTTTGATTTACAAAAAGAACCTTTCATCAAGGTGTCTCAGATGGAAAAGAACTGATTTGATGGTAGTTTGCATGACTGGGTGCTTTAAAATGAACTTGGCTCAAAATTTGAAATATGCTAAAAAAAAATAACTAAATACATTCAGGGAAATGGTTTTCCTTTAATATAAGTAGGCTTATCAAGCTGTGGTAGAACTTGTACCACATCAGCAGCATTCTGCCAGGTTCTGGGGACCAAAACCGGATATTGAGAATTCTGGTGTTTGCAAGCTTAGAACATCCCGTGCAGGGGATTCGGGGATGACCACTAGGTGTTGAACTCAGTAGCTGAGAATACACTGTAAGCGTTTCAAGAGCTAATCTGGATGACTTTTCAAGCGTCTGCCGTCTTTCAGAAAACAAGACACTTGATGATGCAAGTGTATTAGAGAGGGGGCCTCTTAATCACAGGGGCCAGTAACGCTGTGGTTGACCTCTAGGAAGCGTGGCTGGTTCCACTGAAATGCTGCCAAGATGATAAGTGAAAATGGATATGTATCTGGCACAGACCACGGTGACGTTGAGACTATAGGAGCCCGCTAATTTACAGGATGCTGTGTATTTTACACTTCTGTATTTTTCTCCATCTTCCCTTTTCTTTCTTTCAATGTGGGAGAATGGTGCTGTTCTCGTATGTATGCTTCTTTGCACTGGTGGGTGTCTGCACTTTCTCACAGTGAACTGCATTATGATTTATACTGTATTTCTCTTTGTAAAGATACAGCTACCAAGTTGGAGCTGCTTGGATGCAGGGATCCTCCCTTATCAGGATTTTGCCAATAACCAGCACCGCAGCCGACGTACCGGGATACTCAGAAAATGTCGAATGTTATAAAACTGAATTCTAAAACCAGAAATTTTAGTTAACAGTATGCTTTGGCTGCTGCAATAGCATTGTAATTGCTTTGCTAACATCTACGCTGCCCTTCTTCCTATCCACAGTCCAATCTGAATTATATTGTTTTTGAAAAACTAATATGATCATACCATACCAGCCTCAGACCGCATTGGTTATCTCCACCTTTCTTTGCTCCACAGCTTTGTTGACTTCCGATGTTTGCTGACTGCTCGCTTGTACCAAGAGTAACCTTCCATATCACCTCTCCACCGTCACCCCAACCCCAGCCTTCAGTGACCCTCACTTAAATCTGCCTTGCATGGGTCTGTTTCTTCTACTGTGGATCTTGAAAAGATCATGTTTCCCTCTTTTGCAATAATTATCCCACTTCTACATTGACATTTAGTTGTCTCATTATTTGATGGATATCTGCCTTCCCATTTAATTATAAGTTCCTTGAGGAAACTTATTGTGTCTACTTCTGTGCTCAACATTATATCATCCTACCTAATGCCTACAAGAAGTGGTTAATGCACATTGGTTAAACATATATAAATTCATGAGCCACAGACCCATTATAACTTCCACGTGTCTAGACTAAATCTTTCTTTATGCCTCCACTCAGAAGTATCCTTCATATGACAGAAAAGACATATGAGGAAAACCTCCTAAACTATATAATCTTGTGCTTACTTAAGCAGAAAATATTCTTTTTAATGCAGGGATTATCTCCATAGACCCTGAAGAGCAGTTAATACTTGTTCTACGTAAAGGTTAAATTTTATTTTTTATATGTGCTCATGTAGTTAGAAATTAATATTCTCCTAAGTCATTGAAATGTTAAATTCTCTAACCTTCTAAAACACTTCATTTTTTTCCCAGCTTTTGAGGCAAGACTGAGAAATGAAATAAACTCTATAAGATACTAATATCCTTAACAGGTACTGAACCTACGAGCTGACACATTCCGTGGGTTCTGTCATGTTTCACTTTTACTGAACACTACACTTGAGCATCCAAAAGTAAGTTTATCAGCAGAAAAAATAACATTTACAGGGGTGCCTGTGTGGCTCAGTTGACTGGGCGTCTGACTTCAGCTCAGGTCATGATCTCATAGTATGTGAGTTCGAGCCCCACATTAGATTCTGTGCTGACAGTACAGAGCCTGCTTGGGTTTCTCTTTCTCTATCCCTCCCCCACTCCCACTTGCCTGTTTTCTCTCTCTCTTTCTCTCTCAAAATAAATAAACTTACATTTACAGCAGAATATAAGAAATGGTGGTTTTATGTTATTTATATATAATGTATAAATCTATATAACATATGTATATAACATAAAACATTATATATCATATACCATATATATAAATGATAAGGTTCATTATATGAAAAGAATTGAGAATTTTGAAATATTTTGCCTAAATACTGATTTAAATTAAAAGTGCATCTAATTATCACCTAATTCTTACCCTCTTCATAGCCTCATTCACTCTTATGCCCATCCATTTCTTCCATCCTCTGCATTCGGTTGGATATTTGCTCTGCCTCAGTTTCCTTCTGACATGTCTTAGAGATTTCTCCTGTCCCTCCCTCCACCTGTCCCCCCATCATGGCTCTCTCGGATACTCACTTTCCATTCTCTCTCTTAATCTGACTTCTCCAGTAATATGATATGGCCCCTCTTTCTTTCTGTTTCAATTACCTATATTTGGGTGTAGGGGAACTATGTAAAAAAGTTTCAGAAGCTAAATTTATACATAAATCTAAAGTGTGTTAAAAGGTAAGGTACTGGTGTGTCTTTCTCGGAACTAGCAAATGGTCACTTGAGCTCTTGGCTTGTGTCTGAATTACCTTCTGTGGAAGTACTAAGCTCCTAGTGTTCTAGAAAGTGCACCAGCTTTGAGGCCAATGGAACTAGAGAACACATCATTCCTACCTACTGCATTTACTTCATGACCACAGGCAGGTTGTTTCAGATGCCTAAGACAGCTGTCAAACAAGAACATAACATGCCCCAGAGAGCTATTCTGAGGGTCAAACGATAGACCTTGTTTGTAGACCTTCCTTTTTCACTCTACTGCCTTTTCTGTCTCTCATTTAATCTTTAGTGCACGTGCCTTGCCATAGGTTTGCTGCACTTTCTACTTTGTACCTAACTTCATTATTTCTCCTCGGTCAGAGGAGAAATTTTGAGTT